ATCGGTTATTTTGGTTCATGCGGCTAAGAGACGGGTCGTAATACTACCGGAATACAATTCTGAACTAAGGCCCAAAAAGAAAGCACCTACCTGTAGGCTGATTTGTTCGCTAATTTTACAGCTCAAGCGTCACACAGGCTTTTGCTATCTTTTATCATCGCATCTTTTATCACCGCATATTTGACATTTATTTCAAACATCAGTAGGTATTCTTTCACTGAAGTCAGATGAGCTTCCAAATTAAGTAGCCAATGATGTGGTACTAGAGCCTATCACGAACTGTCTTCGTGACAGGTGAGCTACGTGATCTACTGACGTCACTACTGAGCAGTTCATGTTTATTTACTGGTGGGTGATGGTATAAGACTTGGTAGTTAAGCTCAAAATACTCAAATGTGAAATTCTACAAAAACTAAACAGTGAAATTCCGTGAACCAGTCCAACAATATATCTTACTCGTAGTTACACACGCCAGCCAAACTTGGTCCAAGAGAGAGAGAACATCTTACCCATACTTAATGCCAAAGTTTCAGGACACAAAATAACCTGTTTACTGGGGGGCCAAACTCGTGGCCAAATTCACAAAGTTCACCGTCTCATACATATATTGTTTTCCCTTGGAAGTGTGAGGAGATTTCGGAATTTTTATTGAAGCCGGTCTATGCTGAGAAGCCAAGAAGCACTGTTCAGCTGACCATCCTTATTGGGAATCGTCAGCAGTGCGTATAGGTCGAAACACAAAGGAGTCATGGACCTGCGATCATCCCGGGCTAGCAGTTTGAACACTTAATCGTTCATCATCATCATCATCATCATCATCATCATCATCATCATCATCATCATCATCATCATCATCATCATCATTGTCAGCTGTAATAACCGCCTACTTACCGTACAGTGGTTGTAGCTGTCACAGTTTCGTTTACCGATGATTCGGGGAGGTGGGGTAGGTAGCTGCGTATTGGTCAAGAACAGCTGATCAGCAATGTGACCAGCTTGCTTTTCCAGGCTTTTCCAGGTTCATTGACCCAATTGTGCATTACTGTTATCTCCCCGATTGGTGACGAAACATTCGCAAGCTAAATATCGACTCCCAATAAGCCCATCAAAGTTACCAATATTCCGGAATAGACACTAGTTTCCGAATGAATAACCTTCAAGGAGAACAAATAGTAAGGAAGGAAGATGTAAGTGGTCAATAAAATCGCAAGAACAGTGTATAGAGTATTGGTTGCGCAGAGCGTCTGACAGACAAACAGAAAAATATGGATGCGGGTAGCGGAAAACAAACACAAAGTCCAGGCACATTTCTTATCACTGACAGAAGGGAAAGTTACCACAAGGACCCTGTCATCACTCCACACATGGTTTAGCAGAATCATCAGACTTTAGTGGTGCACACATTTCAAAACCTAGATTCAAGTCATATTCGAAGCACATGCGTGAGGAGGCATTGGAAATCCCCATGCACGCGACCTATGTCAAGCGCAGCGGTAAGATCATTCTTCCCTTTATTTACATTGGTTTGGCAAAACCGATCACGTCTGCAACGGAAACTCACCCTTAGGAGATTTAGAAGGCTATTCGCATTCACACAGGAGTGCGCTGACGTTGTCATAGCCCAGACCAGCTTATCCACTAACGTGGACACAGGCAAGCGCGCACACGAGCAGTTTCCCTCGTTCAAGCCGGACGTTAGGTCCAAGTTCAAGGGCGAACCAGCCACGGCAATCACTGGCCTGTCACTTCACTTCATTGTAGCCGAAATATAAGAGACCGTGTTACCATACCTACAACGATGCTTTAGTTTATACTTTTTCGTCCTTATTGAGTTGTGGACCAAGACCGGAAGCATACCTCCGAATCGTCAACTGTGCACCTGGTTCAGACAATATGTGTTCCGCAAGGTGATGACTTGAAAATGGTAATCATACGGCCACTTACCCGATTCGTTTATGCCACCCGAGAGGGACGAAAATGTCCTTGTGGTTGACCTTTTCAAGATCCGACGACGCCTTTTTTATGGACATTCAGTGAAACTCAGGCCCTCTGCAATCATTGATGAGTATTTGGGTAAGGCTTTCCGATAGTTCGCCGGTACTCAAATGAGTATACCTGAATAGGTAAAAATCTGGTTGGCCCAAGAATGACACCCCACTATAGTGAAATCCGTCTACAGTGGTCGTGTGTAGATGTAGTTGAGGCGATTGATTCATGGCAGAAAACGATGTCAAAAAGTCCGAAATCCACCTCTGTTCAGGGAATCGAAATGCACTGTTCGCTACATGTTGGCAAATGTGTATATTCAAAACAAGAAAACTTTACCTGGTAAAGCGAGACAGAATCTACTCTGGCTACTATATAGAGGGGAACACTTTTCATACTGAGTAGAAAAGAGTTTAAAGGAGCTACTCTGGTGGTCGGTTTAGAAAGTTCTGTGCTGCAGGAAGCTACTTTATAGAGGAGTTTCACTCCAATCGACTCGAATGCCTTTAGCCAAATTAATATTTTGTTTGGTTTGAAATACTCTATCGTTATAGCTCGCCTAACCTCACTGAAAGGATGGCAATTAGCTCCCAGAGTTGTCATACTGAAGTTACTCTCTTTGATAACTATAACGCAACCTGGGCAAGATGAAGCTCCGATTACTGCGGCGAGAAAATCTCCGTAAAATTTTCACCCATTTTTCGACATCTTGACTATAAATAGCTTGTACCCCCTTTTAGATGAGTCTGGAAGCGAAATGAGACCAAGACTGCATTCAATCGGGACAGTCTCGAACATCTGACCTTCAGCATCATCATCATCATCATTGTCAGCTGTAATAACCGCCTACTTACCGTACAGTGGTTGTAGCTGTCACAGTTTCGTTTACCGATGATTCGGGGAGGTGGGGTAGGTAGCTGCGTATTGGTCAAGAACAGCTGATCAGCAATGTGACCAGCTTGCTTTTCCAGGCTTTTCCAGGTTCATTGACCCAATTGTGCATTACTGTTATCTCCCCGATTGGTGACGAAACATTCGCAAGCTAAATATCGACTCCCAATAAGCCCATCAAAGTTACCAATATTCCGGAATAGACACTAGTTTCCGAATGAATAACCTTCAAGGAGAACAAATAGTAAGGAAGGAAGATGTAAGTGGTCAATAAAATCGCAAGAACAGTGTATAGAGTATTGGTTGCGCAGAGCGTCTGACAGACAAACAGAAAAATATGGATGCGGGTAGCGGAAAACAAACACAAAGTCCAGGCACATTTCTTATCACTGACAGAAGGGAAAGTTACCACAAGGACCCTGTCATCACTCCACACATGGTTTAGCAGAATCATCAGACTTTAGTGGTGCACACATTTCAAAACCTAGATTCAAGTCATATTCGAAGCACATGCGTGAGGAGGCATTGGAAATCCCCATGCACGCGACCTATGTCAAGCGCAGCGGTAAGATCATTCTTCCCTTTATTTACATTGGTTTGGCAAAACCGATCACGTCTGCAACGGAAACTCACCCTTAGGAGATTTAGAAGGCTATTCGCATTCACACAGGAGTGCGCTGACGTTGTCATAGCCCAGACCAGCTTATCCACTAACGTGGACACAGGCAAGCGCGCACACGAGCAGTTTCCCTCGTTCAAGCCGGACGTTAGGTCCAAGTTCAAGGGCGAACCAGCCACGGCAATCACTGGCCTGTCACTTCACTTCATTGTAGCCGAAATATAAGAGACCGTGTTACCATACCTACAACGATGCTTTAGTTTATACTTTTTCGTCCTTATTGAGTTGTGGACCAAGACCGGAAGCATACCTCCGAATCGTCAACTGTGCACCTGGTTCAGACAATATGTGTTCCGCAAGGTGATGACTTGAAAATGGTAATCATACGGCCACTTACCCGATTCGTTTATGCCACCCGAGAGGGACGAAAATGTCCTTGTGGTTGACCTTTTCAAGATCCGACGACGCCTTTTTTATGGACATTCAGTGAAACTCAGGCCCTCTGCAATCATTGATGAGTATTTGGGTAAGGCTTTCCGATAGTTCGCCGGTACTCAAATGAGTATACCTGAATAGGTAAAAATCTGGTTGGCCCAAGAATGACACCCCACTATAGTGAAATCCGTCTACAGTGGTCGTGTGTAGATGTAGTTGAGGCGATTGATTCATGGCAGAAAACGATGTCAAAAAGTCCGAAATCCACCTCTGTTCAGGGAATCGAAATGCACTGTTCGCTACATGTTGGCAAATGTGTATATTCAAAACAAGAAAACTTTACCTGGTAAAGCGAGACAGAATCTACTCTGGCTACTATATAGAGGGGAACACTTTTCATACTGAGTAGAAAAGAGTTTAAAGGAGCTACTCTGGTGGTCGGTTTAGAAAGTTCTGTGCTGCAGGAAGCTACTTTATAGAGGAGTTTCACTCCAATCGACTCGAATGCCTTTAGCCAAATTAATATTTTGTTTGATTTGAAATACTCTATCGTTATAGCTCGCCTAACCTCACTGAAAGGATGGCAATTAGCTCCCAGAGTTGTCATACTGAAGTTACTCTCTTTGATAACTATAACGCAACCTGGGCAAGATGAAGCTCCGATTACTGCGGCGAGAAAATCTCCGTAAAATTTTCACCCATTTTTCGACATCTTGACTATAAATAGCTTGTACCCCCTTTTAGATGAGTCTGGAAGCGAAATAAGACCAAGACTGCATTCAATCGGGACAGTCTCGAACATCTGACCTTCAGCATCATCATCATCATCATTGTCAGCGCAGCATCATCTCATCATTGTCAGCTGTAATAACCGCGTACTCGTCGTACAGTGGTTGTAGCTGCGGCAGTTTCGTTCAGCGATGTTTTGGTTGGGTAGGCAGTTGCGCATTGGAGGCGCGAGCTGATAAATTAGTGCGTAAATACAGCACTGTAGGTGGAGTGTTAAGTGACGGGATTGGAAAGGGAGCTATGCATTGAAGGGAATAGCCTGGATGCATGAGCGCCATTGATGTTGTCTGTCTTGGGGTCCCCATCCAGGAAGACGGCAATGACCAGCGCAGCTGAGTTTACTGGTAATGGCTTTTGTACTGCGCTGTCAAGTCATTGCTTGACCGCCTCTGGCTCTATTTCACCCTTCACGTGGTTGTGCGAAAAGAACCCTTCGAGGAAATCGGTTGACTGGTATACGCAGCACGTGGTCAAGCCAGCGCAATCTATGCGGTGTGATCAGTTCATCTGTCGAGGGTGAGTTATTTCTCCCGGATACCATTCGACGTACTTCAGAATTGCTGATCCGGTGTTCCCACCAGATTCGGGCAATGCCCCGAAGATATCGATGATCAAACACAAAGTTTATTGACGTCCTCCGCGCATAGCGGCCAGGTTTCAGATGTGATTTCTCACAAACCGCGCCAAAAACGGGGCTTCGTTCTCGAGCTTCACTTTTAACAGCAAAGACCGTAATTTGAACTGTCGCTCCAGCGTGTATCCTTGAGATGTTTTTGTGGAGTGATCAACTGAAGACAACAGTTGATCGTGTCGATAATCATATGAAATCTCTCGGTTATCGTTGGGGAGATAGACTACTTGCTGGCTTTCACAATGACAAAATTCGAACCCAGCACTTTTCTCGCGCTTTTATCAGATCGATCTTAAGAGTTTTGTGATTTACGACTAACTACAACTTTTTTGTTCTTCTAAGATATACAAATCATATGGAGCTCTTCGCGGTTATCAACACGCTTCAGTGCCTCGAGATGGCCTATAGTCAAGATTATGTCAATTACGCAGAGTAGGTCTTCATCTTGGTTGCTTATTTTGAGCGAATTTTTAGCTATGCAAAAGCATGCAGTAAACTCCTGAACCAGTACAAAGTGCGATTCAGACAGCTTGCCTCCGAATTTCACACAGTGGAAGAGTTTGCCTCTCGTTACAAGGTACTGTTCGCTACCGGACTGTTTCTGTTCATTTATTGTTAGATGGTTTGTCCAGCTGCTTTGGAGCGCATCAAGGAAGGTCGTCCAATCACAATGCATGATTCCACAGTCACACGGAATATGCAGTTTGTTGAGGTATGTTTCATCCATATTTGGTTACATTTTCACAACATTTCCGGTCTGATCTCCTGATTCTTCTATTTCCGGGACTACAACTTGCGGTCTCGTGCAGGTGTTCGATGTTAGAAACAGCACGTTCGTAGGTGTGATTCAGGGATACGCCTGCGCATTTTACACCTAAGTGACAGCGTCGAACGAGTACAACGGGCTTTTGAATGTCTTTCCAGGCGTTCAAGTTACACTCGACAGGAAGCCGGCACTGGGATAACTGCGGAAGTCCGCATTGAAGGCAATAGCTTGGCTGCACGAGCGCCATTGACGACGCGACTGGGCCATATCTGACAATGTCTCCAGCCACTGATACGGCCAGTCTCGGGGTCCCCATCCAGAAAGACGGCAGTGACCAGCGCAGCTGAGTTTGCTGGTAATGGCTTTCATACTTCGCTGCCAAGTCATTGTTTGACCGCCTCTGGCTCTCTTCCACCCTTCACGTGGTTGTGCGAAAAGAGTCCTTCGAGAAAGTCGGTCGACTGGCATACGCAACACGTGGCCAAGCCAACGCAACCTATGCAGTGTGATCAGTTCATCTATCGAGGGTGAGTTATTTCTCCCGAATACCGTTCGACGTACTTCAGAATTGCTGATCCGGTGTTCCCATCAGATTCGGGCAATGCTCCGAAGACATCGATGGTCAAACACTGAAAATTTTTTGACGTCCTCGGCGCACAGCGGCCAGGTTTCTGATCCATATAGTAATATGGAGCGCACCTCAGCATTGTAAACTCGACCCTTGACAGATAAGCTGATGTCACGCCTACGCCACAGGTGACGTAGGGGGGTGGAAAAGGATTCTAAGGAAACCGATGCGAATCGAGTTTATCCACCGATCCAGTGAGAATGTATGAATGGTTTGTTGGTAAAACAGATACAATTTTATTGAACTGGAGAAGGAACTGAATTTGAGACACAAATGAAAGAACGAATACGGCATAGTGTCAGAATTCACCGTTTGGCGGTAGCCTCTTCTCATCTCTGGGTACTGACATCCAGGAATCCGTTGTGTCCTTGTTAAACACTGGTGCTTTCGGGGTTGGAATCCAATAATCTTGCTCAGCCTCGTGCTTGTCTTCAACCGGGCAAGAGCAGCTTGGACAAGATGAACTCAGACTTGGGCCATTTTTCCTCTCAAAGTGGTCAAACAAGTAGTTTCTGGTGTCCAGCATAGTGGGAAACTCAAAAATTGGACGCAGAATTGGAATGGGTGAGGTGGCTTGATCACGCACAGGTGCACGTGAAGTTGTTGTCGGAAAGATTTTGCTTGTTGTTGCAGGCGAGTTGATGGTTGTCTGAAAAGGTGACTCTTGCCTACTTGTCAAATAAGTGTACAATGAATTTCCTGTTTGCACTGCGGCTTCTCGACCGCGACGTGATATTTTTCCGCCCACAGAAAGTCCTAACATTGCAAGTGCTCGATCACGTTGAGCGTTCCTTGCTCTCACGAGTGATTTTAGAGCACTCGCGTACAGAGTTCTTCGCCAAAGAAAGGGGTAGTATGAAGATAGTCGACCTCTGTTTCTAGTCGGGATGGTTGGTTCACGTTGCGCAGCTAATGTTGCCCTCCTAGGACTCCTGAAGTTCACCTCGGCTGACGATGGGGATGACCGACGATAGATATATTCGTTCATTACTTTGCTTCTTCGATTAGTTCATGCATTTCGGATGTTCGCGTAATTACGTTCAGTCAGTCGGTGTAGACAGATCCAATTTTAGGACATTGCCGTCTTGTCACAAACTTCTGCTTTCAGAAAGCATCTATTCAGTGAACGGAGACTCCTGCCTGCTTTCTACCAATGACAGAATGACTCAACTCCCTTGCAGTTTAAACAAAATAGTCAAGTGACCTCAGATCGATCGGTTTTCCATTTTCTAGCCGTCAGCTGTCCACATATTTTTTCGTTCAGCTAGTTCATTATGCTTCTAGGTTGTTTTTAAGTTGTCAGATAGAAGACCAAATTTACTTTTCAGCAGATTCTATCACTCACAATCGAAATAATTGTATCTGGGAGTAAAAAATGAGTTATCCTTTGGTTAGGTAGAACTGGAGCCAGTGATCTTCCGGTGGTGAAAATGATTTGAACGTTGCACTGCTAAAAGTCAGCACCTTTATTCTTTACTAATTTAGGTACACATCTTGGCACACGTGTTACCAAACCGTTTTATCACATGCATATATCACAAATAATCTAAGGGAGATTATGCTTTCCCACGGTCTTAAAGGATTTATACCAAAGTAAAAAAAACATTATGGGAGCACTCGATGGACTGAAGCATAGGTCTTTCGATAGGCTGAAGTAAAGTAGCCATTCTGGCACATGAAGTTACTGAAGTGTATACAGAAGCTGTTGGGTTTACAGACTCATCTGCTGTGGGAACCAGCAAGGCGCAAGCTGCGTAACCCGTACACATCTCGATGTAGTCCTTGTTCATCGAACCAGCTGGTTGTCGAACGTGTCTTGGGATCGTTGGAAACTAGAGGTAGTGAATACACGGTAGCCTCAGCATGAAACTAGATGACTTAAGATAGAAAGCCTCGTGACAAGTTTTGTAGATTGAAAACAGAGGGTCTCATTGGCCGTAGATCAATAAGATCAATCTTTCTTGAAAAGACTTCCCGGTCTGACAGACAACTCGTTGGCAGTCATCACTGATGGCGGGATAGTCCTTGTACACTGCACCTATCTCACGAAATCTTCCTGTTCTAAAATGCTAAAAATAACTTGTTGTCTACTATGGTACATCATTATCATTGTCAGCTGTAATAACCGCGTACTCGTCGTACTGTGGTTGTAGCTGTCGCAGTTTCGTTCACCGATGATTTGGGGAGCGTAGGGGTAGGTAGCTGCACGTTCCAGGCGGGAACTGATAAATTGGTGCATAAATCCAGCACTGTTAGTGGGCGGTCAAGTGGTGGGGGGTTGGAAAAGGAGCTATGCACAGGAGGCAATAGCTGCAAACTAGACGCAATTAAAATAACAGTTCATTCATAGAAGATGTTAAATTATGATGCTCAAAGAGGTCTCTGAGTTCATCCTAGACGATCCGCTGATTAACTAAGCTATGTCCCAACGTCCAAACAGGGTATACTCTCATTTGCACACAAATTTGATGATAAGAGACTGAATGAATACACTTTGACCTCTCGTTTATAACAGCCAAATTCAGCAACGTAATGAGTAGAGTGTTAGGTTTACACGATGTATTATGAATATCTTGAATATCGTACCAACCGAGACATGAGGGGGCGTGGTGCAGCACATTCAGTTGAAGCAGGTCATCAATGACGACAGTTTCCGATAGATTCTATTGGGTCAAATTCACATTCGTTTGAAAATGAGAGTATGTGTCGAAATCCGTCTAGTTTGGGTTCAACTAAAACAGAAGTTTTTTGGGGGAAACGCGGGGAATGCACCTATCTGATGAGTTTCAAGAATCGCGAAACCGTCGTGCGTTGTCAAAGAGTTTTAAAGAACTATATGAGCGGTGTGTTGCGTTTGGACAGGGGTTGACGTAGTCCAACTAAAATGGTTAACTGGTATTTTGGTAACCGCATTGAACGGGTTTACAGGTTTGATTTCATGATTCGTATCAAACGATTTCCTGCATTGTCCTAACTCAGGACAGTAGGGGTTCAGCCATGCCCTGGAACTCTTATCGATTTTTACAGCTCATTCGGTCTGTGGGTCACATGCGAACTAAGAAATTGCTGGCTGACAGTCCCCCTCTTAGTTTTGTGTTAAGGAAACGGGAAGATCTCATTTGAGCTGCACTGTATTTTCTTTGATAAAGCTGTTAAGCGAAATGTGGTAACCTCAGATGCCTCATCGAATATAGTCAGCACTTTATCGTAATAAGGCTAACAGGGATTGAATTATCGCTTCACAAGTCTGTGCGAAGGTAGTACCAGCTGATCTGGCTAAGACGATAAACTTTTGGTCCTCATCAAAATTATCTTGAAAGCAGATCTTGTAAGCTTCTTTCGGCTCACTCAAGTGGACTTTGGGAATATCGAATCCGTCATGTGTTTAGTGCGACAAATCTCAGGCATCTTGTTAACTGCAGTGCGAGAATGAAAAACGCCAAATGTATCCTAAATATCGCTGTCAGGTTTTAAGCTTGTGGATGATTTAGCAATGCTCTGCAGGTAATGTTGCATGGAACGATAGATGTGGATATTTCTGGGGCTACATTTATGAGGCCACATGGAGGCTCTTCGGTAGGCAAAATTCTGTCGTTGACGAGCTGCTTTAATCGTACAACGCTCAAGGTCGTTGGAAATATGCCTACATATGGCTAAACTTGGCGGATTTATTGGCTTTGGATAAGCTTACCAAGCCAAGAATGGGGTGCAGACGGTGGTGTTATTTGGAAACAAAATGACTTTCAAGTACAGTTCCGCGAAAGGTGGCAAAGTCTATGAACAAACGTCCGTATCTTCCTCTTTTGATGTCCGTTTATCTATCCTGATACAAGTTCAGTAGATCCTGATGTAGGCAAATGTGATCCGCAGTCTGACAGACTCTACAAATGTTTCCGTCCCGTATGTATGCTGATCGTTCCATTTCCCTTAACGACAGGCAATGTATACTTGTCGTCGACAGTTGCTTGAAATGGTCACAGATATTTACGCTGTACTCAATTTTACTGACTTGTACAGATGATCACTCCCCTCAAGCGTCCAAAAGATGAAGGTTTCCGGTAAAGTTGAGTTCATTTTTCTCGCCTACATAGTTGTTGAAGTCAAAAAGAGAAGTAGCGTATTTCGCAAACACATGGACGAATGTCTCGGGAGCTTGGGTAGGTTTTTGCTCAGCATCAACACCGAATCAGTGCACACCAGTAGATGTCATCCTACAATGAAGCGAGGCCGAAGGTAACGAGTTTCAACTAGGAAGCGGAATCGAGAAGTACCGGAGGAGATGAACATTCTTGTCTGCGTCATAGAAAACATGAAACGGTGCTCTCGCCTGAGCAATGTGGTGTGTGTGTGTGTGTGTTGATTTTTCAAACGCTGGTTGGTGCTGTACATCCCCGTATTTATCACTTCAGAAGAGTACACGCCATTACCAATGAAGCCTGACACTCTCTACCGGAAGCTCTTCTGGATGCCTCAGAAATAACAAGAAAGCTCACTTTTGAACAACCATGAGCATAGCAAATAACCCAGCCAAGTGACGAGAGATTTGCTACAAAGTCTGAACCCATAAACAGTTTAAATCGTTCTCAAGGTTGACGGAAACTCGGGAACTGCGCCTACCTGATGACTCCAAGAAGATCGTGGGCTGTCCAGGAGTTTTCAGCAACCTCATGAGTTGTGCATTACAAAATATGTATGTATCGCGATATCTCGAATATCGTAGCGACTGAAAAAAGAGGCGGCCTAATACGGCACATTAAGTTGCCTGAGAACATCACAAACGAGAGATTCAGCCGGGTTCCAGGTGAGTCTCTCGAAAAACCAAAGTAGTTTGCAACTGAATGTATATTCTCCGTTCCTAAGGTCATCAAGAAGGGGGCCGTACAGACGTAGTTACTTCAGTCCAATGTTAACAATGTGACTGCGTTCACTCCGACCCGTCACCCAGTTCAAGAAAGACAACTAGGACGCTGACACGGTTTTGCGGATATGGCATAATCTGAAGGTGAGGATGGTGAATTAAAACTTACTAAAGCCTCGGAAGACTAACTGAGAAAAAGGGGCTGTTTAAAACCGTCTTTCGTGGTTCGGCGATATCACTGATGATATTGGAAATCCGTATAACGAAAATTTGGTGAGAAAGGGAATACAGTGCGTCAATGAGGCCGATCTATACTGGAGAGCATTGTATATCTGTTTCATCCCGAGTGGGAATCATCAGCAATGCACATCTCCCGGAACCTCAGGGAGTCTCACGAGAGATTTGCTACAAAGTCTGAACCCATAAACAGTTTAAATCGTTCTCAAGGTTGACGGAAACTCGGGAACTGCGCCTACCTGATGACTCCAAGAAGATCGTGGGCTGTCCAGGAGTTTTCAGCAACCTCATGAGTTGTGCATTACAAAATATGTATGTATCGCGATATCTCGAATATCGTAGCGACTGAAAAAAGAGGCGGCCTAATACGGCACATTAAGTTGCCTGAGAACATCACAAACGAGAGATTCAGCCGGGTTCCAGGTGAGTTGAGTCTCTCACCAAAGTAGTTTGCAACTGAATGTATATTCTCCGTTCCTAAGGTCATCAAGAAGGGGGCCGTACAGACGTAGTTACTTCAGTCCAATGTTAACAATGTGACTGCGTTCACTCCG